TATGAATGAAAAATGTAGTTACACTGCGAAAAACACTGAAATCACGCAAATATATTTTCGGTATGCAGTTTATAAGAAGATCCTTATTATTTCATGTAACTGTCTGACGGATGATGCAGCACATATATTTCTGCTTGGTTAGGGAATAGAGACCCCTGTCAATGATATATATATATATATATATATATATATATATATATATATATATATATATATATATATATATATATATATATATATATATATATATATTGAAAACTACTCTTGAAATAACATTTACAAAATAGATTGGCCCCGGAAATTAAATAATAATAATAATAATAATAACAACAATTATTATTATTATTATTATTATTATTATTATTATTATTATTATTATTATTATTATTATTATTATTATTATTATTGTTATTATTATTATTATTATCGGTATTTGACCATTCTTAGAGAATTCCAGATAAGATCATTGAAGCTGGGGAGGAGTAAGCTCTTAATAAGTAACTGTAAATAGGTAAGATTTTACCGTCAATATATTATTTTCTTCCTTAAGCATTGATTATTATCCACTGCAAACATGCTCTTTTTTATTTAAGCAATTAGCATTTTGGCATCACATCCAGCAGTTGCGTGTCATGCTGGTCCTTAAAGATTGCAATCGTTAATGTTTGAAATGCACCATAAGAATGTTCTTTGGCATGCTACCTAATCGTTTAGCTGAAAATAGCAATAAATATTGGACAGAAATAAAAACCTGATATTTGCATTTCGAGACTTTTTACTTTTATGCGCTATTTTCGAAGAAATAAATCTGCTTAGACTTCCAAGAAGAACACTAAATTTCTATGAAATATTGTGTAACCTGTCTTGTGACAAAAGCCATCTACCAAAGCACATTTGGAGGTTATTTTGCATATTAAAAAATAATTGTTGGGTTTCCAGAAACATTAATAGATTCCAATTGTGATTCTTCTCATGTCTTATTTTTAAATATGTATGAGATGAAATTGTTCAAAAACGGATTTAGAGCAACTTTGAATATATAGGATTCTTTCAAAATAGGCAATCCATTTTTCATGGATAAGACCAATTCCCCATATATTCTGCCAAAATATAACTTTCTGATACATTAAATGCTGTCTTTGCTATGCAAGGGTTGTTCTACAGTTTGTTCCACATGGATATATATATATATATATATATATATATATATATATATATATATATATATATATATATATATATATATATATATATATATATATATATATATATATATATATATATATATATAGGTCATGAAACAGTGCTAGAAGAAGTCTTGTGAATTAAAAAGTCCTTAATTGTAGAAATCAAAATTAATTGAACAAAATGATAAACTTATTGAACGTTCAAAGAGACGATTTGTATCATGCCAACATTCCTTGACTGAAAAGAAAAACTTGCTTGTGAATGGTTTGAACTGAGAAAAAAAACGGACATAAACGATATGTAGTTTTACACTGAGCCATTATGTTCCTAACTTGAATCATAGGAAGACAGAACGAGCAATCTAATTGGATCAGTTTCTTTCAGCTGCATCCAATCAGTTGATAGAATAGTAGATACTCTTTGCACTAGCTACGTATACATAGAGTTGATTGAGATCTACCACCTTTGACTAGCAAAGGTGTTATCTGGAATACCTGAATTACTGTGCCTTTTTCACAAAGAAAATAATTGACGAAAAGCAAAATAAGGATGTTACATTTATGTGAAAAGGTGTGTACACTACCTTCAAATTTTCTATAGCTCCATTAATATGGCAATTTTAAAAAGTTAAAACAAAAACAGCAGATCTAGAATGGAACTCCTGTGACAACAGAAACGTAGGCAGAAAAAGGAAGACATTGTGCAGGTCCATCGAGGACGAGAACAAGGACACCAGAAGAACTTATACCGATCTGACGGGAAAGCTCATATCTGGGTTTGATATCGAGGCGTAGTCAAGACTTCATGTTCCCATGGCAACAGAAGGAAGAAGAATCCAAAAGATAAAATGACGTTTCTCTGGGCAATAGCGTATGTCCGTATGTCTTCCCGGCGAGTTTCTTGTAGTGCCAAACTTTACACAATTTGGGATAAGAAAGTGAACATATCGCTTCGCTTACCGAACAATTAAAGTTTATGGAAAAACGTTAATCGTCGAATATATATTGAACAGTCAATTCACCTAAATGGCGGTCTTTAATTTTCATGCATAAATGATCAGCGCTTGATGACGTCTGCGGGTATTGGAATAAAAATATACGTTACAAAACAATATAAATAATTCAGAAACTTTCTGCATTTGTCAGACATAAAACGTGCCGAAGCACAAAACGCAAAGCAGGCTACATTTACGTGTGGTAATATGTTCAACTCAATTAAGTAAGCAGTCGGTAATTAGTTAGTAAGAACCTATATTTGAAATGCTTGCCTCATCTTCAAATGATAAAAAGGAAGCAGTCAGTTCGAAGAGTGAGTTGGTATGGGAATTATTTGGATACATTTGGATTTAGACGCAACCAGTACACATTTCACAATGTGCATATCAATATAGATCAATATACATAATTTTAGAATACCACCACGTAACTACTGTCGATTCATAAAGTGAATAATAAATATGCATTACTAGTCTATAGTTTTATATTATGGAACAAAAAGACGAAAAAAAACCCCCAACGGATTTAATAAGCATTAACAAATAATTTATTTCCCTAGATACAAAATGAAAAATTATGAAGAACTTAGTGTATTTGAATTAAATCCCAATAGCTCTAAAATATTATCTCACGAGTCGAAAAGAATAAAGTATTCCGAATGAAATACGGCGATGTTCCGAATGCATTCTAATCTTGAATGTGCTGGTGTACCCATAGCCTGGAACAGAGTTGATGTGCTAACAGTCTTGATGTATAACAATGATATAATCCGAAATATTCTTGAACGGATTCACAATTATTCCAAATTAGTGATTTAGTCAGAAAATATTATTGAGCATTTTGTAATTCAGTGAATAATTTAAATAAATAGATCCTCTCACGGCAAAAACTGAACACAATTAAAAGACTGATTCCAATCTGACACTAAAAAAAATTTACGACACTAAAAAAATTTACCGCCTCGTTATATAAAAACCTAATCAGAACCAGGATGATGCCAGTTTCCTCATCAAATTCGTAAGCAAACTTCCTAGGTGAAAATGCCTCGTAAACATGTTTACCTACAAGTGATATTTATCTTAATATGCAATCTACAATCATAGACAAATATATGCTATGTAATATATCATTTCTCAAAGGACAACATTAGTCCAAGCTCCAGCCTTTAAATATGAACAAAGGTAAATCACCCTAAAAACTAAATTTTCATAGAACGTTATTGCTGGTGGAGACAGAATTTGTCTTTTGCCGAAAAACATGGTAATCTAAACGTGTAGCATGGTAGGATAAAACAACAATTTAAATAATTCCAGTGACTCGTTTAAACACGGATTGAATTTTGTAGATGAATCATTTTGGTCATAAAGCAAATAATAAAACCACTAATGTTAAACAAAGCAAAGCGTCTTGTTCAGCAAGGATAGAAACAATTTATTATTATCGGTTCTAAATAAATACCAGCCCATCACACCACCAATATATTCAGGCGCTACTGCTGCATCTTCTTTTTGTTTTAACTAAATCATGCAAGTAAACAGCTAGTGTTTTTTTAACGGAAATTTTAATTGTTTAGCAAATAATTTGTCAAGATGAGGTGGACGAGGAGTATAAATAGTCTATCGCTGAACACTTTCTCCAAACTTGGAAGAGACAAAGCACTGATACTATTACTGCTAATACAGAAACATTGTCTGCATCTTTTCTTTATAAAAATGTTTTGTTTTTAAAAAAAAGATCTCTGTAATTTTTCCATGTTGAATATGTAAACCTTCTCATTTGTCATATTTAGAGCAGTTTATGACGTCATATATTTTAGACTTTCTCGTTTATTTGGTACTAATTTTATTGATTTTTGTTTCTAAATATTTCTTAGAGTTATTTTATCTGTTCGTAAATATATTTAAGTTCTTTTTTAAGCAATGGTAATTTCAACAGTTTCTCTACACAATCTTATATCTACAGATTCATAAAATAAACAGACCGTAATTTCGCTTTGTTTTTAAATAAGCGATGTAAATATTTACCAACATTTCAATTTTTCTATGTCATTTATGTAAATATGAACGAATGCACTATAATATCTTTATTTGATCTGGATTTTCATTAGGTGCTTTGTTTGGCAGTAGGCTTTGTGGGTATTTCGACTGCTTTGAGCTGTATATACATGTGTGTTTATAAAATTTGCACAGCCTGTGTCTTTTTCTAGTTTTTATATTTTCAATTTATCTTATAAACTCATCCGTTTCTATGAAAATTAGTATATATTATGATCTAAATCTTCGATATTGAGATCTTTCCAAATTTTATTCCTTTTTGTCGTCTCTCTCTAGCTTTGCTAGATGCATACATTCAATACATGATAAAATGACAAATTATATCAGTAGCAATTAAAACAATTTATGGAAAACATGGCATGTTGCCATAACAACATTTTCAATAACAGGAAGAATTAAATTATTATAAAAACAGAAGCATCAATAAATTAAAAAAGTTTAGGAATTATTTTGGCACAGATATTAATGACCAGAGCAGCATGAAATATCTAATACAAATAAATCGCCTTATAGCAGCATAAAGAATGAGTTAACAGAAATAGAAAGATATATACGAATTGTATAAAGGAAGAATGACTGAATGAGAAAAATACATCGTCACTATGATGACAATGTTCGATAAAGCTCTCCGATTTGAGAGATAACATTTAAGCAATTGAGTATGTTACAGTTTTACAAGAAATTTCATTCAGATGTTGAGCATTACAAAAGGATCAATAATGGTTAGCAGTTTTAGTATGGCACAACCTAACATTGAAGAAATGACCACTCCGGTGGCCTAAGTTGTTAGAGCGTCCGCCCCGGAATCGGGACGCCGTGGGTTCAAACCCCGGCCGAGTCATATCAAAGACTTATAAAAATGGTGCTCACAGCTGCCTAGTTAGGAGCTCAGCATCAAGAGGTTAGTATTTTGATTGGGCGGTCTTTCGTTAGGATAATGTGACTGGGTAGTCCATTGGGCTCAATCTGCGTTAAAAATCCAAATCACACAAACACATTGAAGAAATAAACAAAGTAAGACAAAAAAATGAGAAAATATGGCAGTAATTTGGCGCAAAAGTTCGCAACGAAGCATAGACCTTTTTTATATATACTGCCCACTAAATGGGCATATATATATATATATATATATATATATATATATATATATATATATATATATATATATATATATATATATATATATATATATATATATATATATATATATATATACATACATACATATGTACATAGTAATGCATGTATGTATGTAAGTATGTTTGTACGTACGTACGTATATATATATATATATATATATATATATATATATATATATATATATATATATATATATATATATATATATCCGTAGCAAGTTAAAATAATGTAGCTGAAAAATGATATATTTAAAGATTTAATTCCTGTAGAAACAACCATGTAAAGTTTTGCAGTTTTGAAAACACAATGGTTTTTGTTTTTGTGTTTTATTTGTTTGTTTTGTCTATGTTTTGTATTTACCTTTGAAAAAGACTAATTAAGTCAAAAGTGCTCAGGTAAATTAGATGCTAATTTTGCACTGTTCGGTGTCAGCTTATTGCATATATATATATATATATATATATATATATATATATATATATATAGATGCAATAAACTGACGACGAACAGTACGAAACTAGTAACTAACTAGCCTAAGCGCCTTCGACTCTTAATGAGTCTTTTTCAAAGGCAAATACAAAACATATATATACGACAAACAAATAAACATGAAAACGTTATGTTTGTAAACCTCTACATGGCTGTCTTCACATGTGCTAAAACTATAAATACAACCAGCTTGTATAGACTAGTTGCGGAAACTGAAAACGTTGTATAATTCCCTAAAAGGCTACAAGCCAAAGCGACATCTATTTTTGCTTTTTGTCATATGTAACGCAGATTATATCCCGGATATTTGATTCTATACCGGTTATTCTTATAGTAAAAATTGAAGGATAATAAGAAGATTTAGAAAATGTTAAATTCTACTAGTGCATAGTTTTCATTTTCTAGCCTTTTTGGTTTAGACCGCTTGGTTTCAATGTTCTAAGGCGGCGTATCCAGGATGATTCCTTTTCCTTCATGGTTTCGGAACCCCAGCTGTGGTTGTTAGCAATAGCGATAAGTATTATATCACTAAAAGTGTGGCCAGGGGAGGAGAAATGTTTTGCGACCGGGCTTCTGTACAGCATTTTTGTCATCCAATCAGATCTATGAAGGTTTATCCTTTTGTGTAGCTTTTCAGTTTCTCCGACGTACTAAAGGCCACAGATCTTATATGTGATGAGATAAATCACATTCTCTGTTTTGCACGTTTTGTTTGGACCATGTATGTTTAGTTTTTCTTTAGTCACTGTGCTAGTGAATGTCTTGGTCTCTATCATATGTTGACAGGTTTTGCATCTTTTATCGCCACAGGGTCCAGATTGACTGGGTTGGTTTTGACTAGCGATTGGCGTTAGCTTTGCCCTGACTAGGATGCCCTATAGGTTTTTTGGTCTCCGGTAAGCTACTACAGGTTTGTTCGGAAGTATTAGGTTTAGTATGTCTGACGATTGCACGGTTGGCCAGTAGTTTCCGATGAATATTTCCTACTTTGGGATTGTCTGGGTGATAGGTCAGAATAAATGGTATCCTATCAACCTTTTCTTTCTGTCCATATCTGAGTAGGTCATCACGGTTTGTTTGTTTGGCCCTTTGGATTGCCTCTGCAATAAGGTCTTTGTCGTAGCCTCGGTAAATTAAATGTTTATCCAGCTCATCAGACCTTTCTAGGAATCTTTCATCGTCGGAGCAAATTCTGCGTATCCTCAGTGCCTGGCTATATGGAATGTTCTTAATGCAGTGTTTTGGATGACAGCTGGTTGGGAGGAGATACTGGTGTTTTCGGTTGGTTTCGAGTAGATGTCTGTGTGTAATTTGTTTTCCACCAGTCTGGTTGTTGTGTCCAGGAAAACATGGTTTGAGTTGGAAATTTCTGCCGTGAATTTTATTGAAGGATGGAAGTTGTTTGCCTTTGATAAGAAGTCATCCAGACTTTCTCTTCCATACTACCACTTCATTTCTGTATCATCGATAAAGTGTACTCTCAACCGATGCTAAGAGCTGACCCTCAAGTTTTCCCCATGAAAATGTTAGCATGCGAAGGGGCCATTTTAGTACCCATTGTAGTTCCATTGATTTGGAGGTAGTTTTCTTCATTAAATTCAAAGTTGTTGAGTTTTAGGACAAGCTCCAGGAGTTGGACTAAGAAGTGTGTGGGTGGATTGTTTACAGTTCTTGTTTCCCATGCTTCTCTACATGCCTGTAACCCTTCGTTGTGCGGTATGTTGGTGTACAAAGATGTGACGTCTAAGGAAGCAAGTAATGTATCTGGCAGTAATGGTTCACTAGCTTTGCTTTTTATGAGATAATCTGTTGTGTCTTGAAGATATGATGGTAACTTGTGGACATGTGGTCTCATAAAATGATCTAAATATTCTGATATCCTTTCTGTGGGGTGCCCGTTACCTGAGATTATAGGTCTGCCAGGGTTTCCTTGTTTGTGGATTTTGGGTAGAAGGTAAAATCTACCTTCTCTTGGGTTTTCTGGTCTCAAGTAGTTTTTCGTTTGCTGGTCTATGTGTCCGCTTTGGTACGCCTCGCCAATAACATTAGTGATGATTTTTGCATATTTCAGCGTTGGATCATGGTCCAGTTTTTGGTAGAACCTAGCGTCACTTAGTTGTCTACTTGCTTCACTAATGTAGTCTTCCCTATTCATAACGACAACAGCGGAACCCTTATCTGCAGGCTTAATTATAATGTCTGTTCTGCTTTTCAGTGAGTGCAGGGCATCTGTTTCTTCTTTTGTCAAATTAGAGTATTTGTTAGTATGGTTGATATGTCTGAAGGTATCGTTTACAACCGAGTTGATAAAGGCTTCCAGATTCTGAATTGAACTTTTTGGTGGGGTCCAGTTACTTTTCTTTCTAAATGTGGGTTGGTCGCAGCTTATATTTTCCTTTGATTTGTTTGTTGGTTGCAAGGCAAAATGGGCTTTGAGTCTTAGTCGGCGGATGAACTCTTCGGTGTCATTCTTAAGCTTCCCTCTGTCGTATGTTTTTGGACGGGGACAGAAACTCAAACCTTTCAATAAAAGTTTTATTTCTGCATCAGTAAGTTCCAAATTGGAGATGTTGACTACTGTGTTAGTAACAGTTGCATTAGTGTTTGTTACAGAGTGCTTGCGATTCTTCCTTTTGCGGCGATTTTTCTTCTTACGGTTGTTTTTAGAAGAAATTTCGTCAATTGAAGTTTCTTCACAACAGTCCGTTGGTTTTAGATCATGACTTCTAAGTTTTCTATCTCTGACTTTGCATAGTTTCGAAGAGAGTCTTTGTTGATCTTTATTTAATTTGGAGTAAAACGTTTTCAATTGTTCTTCTGTAGAGACGGAATTGAGCTGATGTTTTAGTTCTTCAATGGTTGCTGATTTGACTAGATATTGATGATTTACGTTTATACTAAGTAGGGCTGTGAGTTTCATGGAAGCGTCGTGAGTTATTTTATTCCATCTTTTGTTGAATTTGTTTGAGCTCTTGCCAATAATTTGCGGTTTCACATGAATTTGAAGACCTTTAGTGACTGTATTTGTTTCGAGGAAATGATGCAAGAAAGTGCAATTATGCTTTAGGCGAATTAAGGCATCAGTTTCATTGCGTAAAGTTTTGAATGTTTTCTGTATTTGTTGAGACATCGTCTCCATTCTAAGAGATACGGCAACAATTTAAGTATAAGAAGGAAACATTGGAACGGATACAATAGCACGACATAAATACAGGACCGAAAAGGGTGTTAGATCACCCCAAAGGTAGATCGTGCCATACGAGGTAGATAATATAATGAATACAAATCATATGGCGAATAACAACCCTTTCAAGCGTACTGGATCCACGAAGGGATCACGTGTGTCAGTGATTAATTAAAATAGATGCAATAAACTGACGACAAACAGTACGAAACTAGTAATTAACTAGTCGCAAACCACTGGCCAACCGTGCAATCGTCAGACATACTAAACCTAATACTTCCGAACAAACCTGTAGTAGCTTACCGGAGACCAAAAATCCTATAGGGCATCCTAGTCAGGGCAAAGCTAACGCCAATCGCTAGTCAAAACCAACCTAGTCAATCTGGACCCTGTGGCGATAAAAGATGCAAAACCTGTCAACATATGATAGAGACCAAGACATTCACTAGCACAGTGACTAAAGAAAAACTAAACATACATGGTCCAAACAAAACGTGCAAAACAGAATGTGATTTATCTCATCACATATAAGATCTGTGGCCTTTAGTACGTCGGAGAAACTGAAAAGCTACACAAAAGGATAAACCTTCATAGATTTGATTGGATGACAAAAATGCTGTACAGAAGCCCGGTCGCAGAACATTTCTCCTCCCCTGGCCACACTTTTAGTGATATAATACTTATCGATATTGCTAGCAACCACAGCTGGAGTTCCGAAACCATGAAGGAAAAGGAATCATACTGGATACGCCGCCTTAGAACATTGAAACCAAGCGGTCTAAACCAAGAAGAATAGAAAATGAAAACTATGCACTAGTAGAATTTAACATTTTCTAAATCTTCTTATTATCCTTCAATTTTTACTATAAGAACAACCGGTATAGAATCAAATACCCGGGATATAATCTGCATTACATATGTACAAAAAGCAAAAATAGATGTCGCTTTGGCTTGTAGCCTTTTAGGGAATTATACAACGTTTTCAGTTTCCACAACTAGTCTATACAAGCTGGTTGTATTTATAGTTT